CTCGGCAGGGATACACCCCTAAGGATGGTGACAGCCCCCTAAGGAAAAAAAACTTATGCCCTACGAGAACCTATCCTGTCGTAGGGGACCGCAAAAAGTATAGCTGCTGCACCCGACAAGAGCAGCGAAGGAGCGATGCGACCACGACCGTCCTTGTGGCTCGCGGGATCATTAAGCGCCGTTTTCGAGTTGACTCTTGATTTTGTTTCATTTTACTTCTGCGTGACAAGGCCGGGAGGACCCTCGCACGCGCGGGGGCCGATGCGCTCAACAACAGTGTGTTGAAAAACTTCTACAACGGTTACAAAACTAGAAAAAAACGGTAATCGCGAATGTGGTGCACGACGATTGCGGCGCAATTTATGTTGTCTTGCGACGAATGAACATAGACTTGCAAAAGTGCATGTGGCACAAAGCCAAGACTTTGATCAAACGCTTGCAAGAAGTCGTGCGTGCTACCAAAACCGTCAAACCGTCAGGGGTGGGTGCATGTGAGCACGTGCACGAGGTGAAATGTTTTACAAAAAATATCCTAAAAAACTGGCTAGATATCAAAGTTGCAAGGATCCCGGGGGTGGCCACGAAAAAGAAGAACGAGCTGATTGAAATAGTGTGGGGTGTATTGTTTTTGAAACAAGCGGAAAAATAGTTGCCCATCGAAGATGTCGAGATTGACGCATTAGAGGCGTTGCACACTAATGGGGCGGAGGAGGAAAAAGAGTGGTAAGACCTACTTCCTTATGAATCTGGTCAGATTAAGAAGCCAGATTCATGATCTAGTAGAGCCTCTGCACAGGCCGTAGTATCTAGACCCAAGAAAAGGCCAGATTCATCCGGTCCTATTGGATGGGTGGGTCGAGAAAAACCTAGAGGATGAAAAACCTTTAGAGGCAAAAGAAAAGATCCTGACCACCCAATTGATTAGATCAACGACCTAGAAGATTTTGCCAGGTGCATTCAAGGTTTTTAGAAGCCTCACACCAAACCTTCGTAGCATGTTGCAAGCAGTCTCATCTTGTTATCAAACGGCTGAAGCAGCTCAATAGCCAGACAAGGCTAAGTACTAAGGTGGCTGGCTTGACAAGGGTGACCACCCAGCCACGTGCATGTATAAATAAAAGTGGTTGCCACTATGGTGACCACGTATAAGCAATGTGGGCATGACAAGCAGCAAGCAAGTGGATGGAGATAGCTGACGATGTAAGCGAGATGAGTGTACCACCACGTTGAGCCTATGGAGACTTGGGGCGGTGCGCAGTGGTCCTACCCTTTTCTTCGAATACAAGGGCACTTCGAATATAATGCATATACGTTCTATTCGAATAGTACGCATATGCGTTATATTTGAATTTCACGAAGAGAAAATTGTTGTATTCGAATATAACCTTTTTTTCGCCCCCCCGAAGGTCAACGCCTGCTCCGTTTTTGCCCTGGTGAACGGGACAGACCAGTGCAGGCGTGTAATCACAGATCACTGCCCGTGCTCTCTCTCTCTCTCTCTCTCTCTCTCTCTCTCTCTCTCTCTCTCTCTCTCTCTCTCTCTCT